TCCTGTTGGCTGAGAAGGAGCCAGTTTCCCAGGCTTCCTTCACTTCCCTCGCTGTTTTTGTGCCTGCTCGTCCAACAATCTTGGTAGCTGCAAAATTGAATGGGTGCCCTTGTTCATTGCAGTGTGAAGCTACCAATGACTTCAGGTTTCCTCCTCTGACCATTCACTTGTGTTCTTGCAATCTGGTGGTTAGCTTCCTCCCCATCTGTCCTACATAGTCACAGGGGCAATCCATGCAGGGGATCCGGTAGATTACATTGGAAGTATCTCCCAGCTCCAAGCGATCTTTACAGTGCATAATTTGTCCTCGTACGGTAACCCGTCATGCCTCCGTCTGAGCCTGAATCTGCAGAGGAAAATGAGCTGGAATGGGGCCCCATGGAGGTCGAGGTGTCTGTGGCTTCAGAGGAATGTGGGAAAGAGCAGGCCAGGGCCCTTCAGGAGTGGGACAGGAGGAACAGGAGAGAGTTCAGGTGATGAGCAAGGCCACCCCCTCCTGATCCTAGAGCACGGAGAGTGAAGGAGGGAACAGCACAGACAGGCTCAACTACTTGGGAGGAGAGCATCCTGCCCCTCTCCACAAGCAATACCTGGAGACTGAGACTTAAGGAGACGCTGTGGGGAGAGGCATTTGTCGGGAACAAATGCTGATTCCTTGGAGTTTTGTGTGCTGTTGCTGATCTTGGAAATAACTCTCTGATCTCTTGTTCGGTGTTGTGATTTCTGCTTGGAAACCCTGAAACTCTGACCATTGGACTAACTGACAAACTTGATTTGGTGTTCAAAGACCTCCGATTGTATTTTGGCTTCTCTTCTGAAACTGCTCAGGCAAGCTTGTGTTTCCACAGACTGGTTAGATTTTGGATATTATGTTTCATCCCTTGTTATCTACGTGGCCTTGAGTAAAGTACTCTTCTAATCTGATTGTATGTGAAACTACTTGCAGCCAGAGGCAGCTGAAGGTGTGTGTGTGTTACTTTGTTCTGGGGCTTGCCAGAAACGTGGGAGCATTTGGGGAAAATTTGGAGCAATCAAAGGGCAGTTTAAATTGCCAGCTGACTGCATTGCCTCTGTGCCGTGCCCTGGGTCATCACACCCCTGGGCGGTGTGCGATGCCCTCTTGCAGATCCCGGAAGCTGTGTTCTGCTGATTCCGAAGTGTTTTTGATGTATGGCAGGGTGTGCCATGTCGTTAATCTTTGCACCTTGTTTCTTCTTTTCTCTCCCCACCATGTTGCGCAGACATCTTTTGACTAATGATTGTGGCTACCCGCTTTTGACACGCTTTTGAAATTCCAAAGCTGGTAGCATCAGCCCAAGGGTGACCGAGGCAGCCTTGCAATGGAGGATTGTCCTCTGTGACCAGGGCTCGGTGGCCACCAGTGCAACGGAGACGGTTCCCTCAAGCTGGAGATTCATGTCAGAGGTCCTTGGCTCTGAGACTTGAGTCTATTGTGTTGTTTCTCCTTCTTTAGCCTAACAAAGCAAATTCCTTCTGATATTTTGCTTGGGAAGGAGCCAGATTCTGCTGAATATGCATGTTTAAGAGATGCCATTTTGTTTGCTGCCTCCGTGGGGAAGAAACACAAGTGCAAAGAATACCACTTCAGACACAGACTGATTTACTGCCGTTCCCTATTTACCAGCCCCCCCCCAAAAGTAAGATAGGTGAGGGGGGGGGAAACACCCTCTAGCCATATAAGAGCCTGGCTATTTTCTTTTTCAACATACCTGAAATGCTATGCCAAGCCAATGGTTTCTACAGCTTCTCTATATATTACAAAAAGAGGGAGGGAGTGTTGTTTAGATTCTGCACCAGACTTTTGACATTTGAAGCATAGGGCAGATGTGTCCTTAAAATTTGGAAGATGCTTGGAAAACAAACCCTTTTCTCTTTACTCCCTGGAGGATTGCTCAGTTCTCTCCCCCCCACACACACACACAAAACAAGCCACAGGAAAGGCAATTTTTTGGCTGGCAGCATCTTTACCCCCCCTCCTTTGCTGATGGTGGGGAGATGAGGGGGAAGCAGCCCACCCAGAAGTACCGCAGAGGGTCAAGAGAAAAGTGCGACCTCTCCTTTGCAAATGTGTCAGTCAAAGAGTCTGAGCAAATCCTTCCAATCGGTTGCAAAGCCTCAACTCTTACCTCTACAGCAATCACAGCGTCCGCCTCTGCTCAGTAAGGCTCCGTCCCACAGTTGCCAAGTTGGCACATCTGGATTGTGTTAGTTCTGGCATTCCTCTCAACGTATAACTTGGAGATGATAGCTGAACTGTAGCAAGAGAGCTGCTTTTCCCTTCGGGTGCACTTCACCAAGGATCTGCTTTCTCCAAACAGCATTTACACGCTTGCTCTCTTCAGTCCCTCTCTCCCCACTCCCGTCCGGAGCTTCTTCCCAGGGACTGCTTTTCTGCGTGTGCGCGGATGAAAGAACATCTCCGCTCTGCCTAAAGCAAGGCAGCTGAGCTGGCCTCCAGTCCTGCTCACGTGACATGTGAGCAGATGTTTCGGGTCAAAAGGCTCATAGATGTGTGCTTGGTAAGCCTGCCCCATACAGATGTTTGCCAGCAGCAACAAAACGTTTGGCAGGATCTGCGTGCAGATGGGGATCATTCGGTACACAGACCCGCTGCTAGATCGCCTTGCCGAAGCAGGACAGACTATTCGGTTATTTTTTAAAAAAAAAAAAAATATCGTCGTAGATGCAGCTCCTTGCGCAAAGGGAAATTATTAAGAGCTTGAAAGCAGGGTTTCAGCGGAGAGATTGGACGCAAGCTATAATGGGCCAATTGTTGGCGAAATTGACAGATTTTGAGGAATTGATCCCTGCCCCTCCTCATTATAGTTCAGTTAAAATCGCTTTTAATGCTGAACAGAGCACTGGTTTCATTATTTTGATTTAAAAACCTACAACACTTCCACGCTGAAGGCTAAAAAGGAAACAAATCCCATTATACTCACTAGGTGCATTATGAGAAGGGCTGTAACAGACAGCAAAACAGTTCAAAGGATGAAAATTAAATTAAAAATTAGTACAGGTCGAGCCCAAAATTTCTGTCCCAAAGCAAGATGGTTGTGAAGTGAGTTTTGTCCCATTTTACGACCTTTCTCATCACTAAGTGAATTGTGGCAGTTGTGGAGTTAATAACTCGGTTGTTAAGTGAATCTGGCTTCCCCATTGACTTGGCTCGTCAGGTCACAAAAGGGGGGAGACCACAAGACCCCGGGACACTGCAACCGTTGTTAAGTACATGCCAGTTGCCAAGTGTCCGAATTTTGATCACAGGACTGTGGGAATGCTATATGATCGTAAATGTGAAAAATGGTCAGAGGTTACTTTTTTCAGTGCCGTTGTATCTTTGAACGGTCACCAAAAACTGTTGTAAATCGAGAAATACTTGTAGAAGCTGGGGAATGCTGGCTCAGGAATTCTGGGAGATGAAGTCCACAAGTCATAAAAGAGCCAAGGTTGCCTACCCCTGGTCTAAGCCATAGTTTTTCCATGGTTCAGCTATAAGCAAAATTATAATTGATTTTTTATGCCATGAGGACATATCGCTTGTTTTCATGCTTTTTTCCTCCTTGTATTCTGTCCAGGAGTTGATGGGCATATTCAATACATTTTGAATATTAGCACATCTTTATTAAAATCTCTGTTAGGGATATTGATATTGTTGCCTTTTAATTACTCTGATTTAGAAGAAACAATGTTACAGCACCAATGAAAAAGAACAGTTAAATATTAGTGAAATACCACTAAAATAAATACGATTCTAGAAGTTAATAGTTTTTTACCACAAGATTTTAATGGTCTTAGTCAAAGCATTTTAGCGAAACAGAAGCAGTAATTCAGAAAGCTTCCTCCAGATTTTTTTTTTAAAATAGTGCTAGTGTTCTATGCTCTTGGGTTGTTTTTTTTTTATGTAGAAAAAAAATGAGATTTTAATCTTTGTCAGATTATAAATGTTAGTATTTGATTTCGTATTACAGCATGATAGTGCTAAAACGTTAAATGTTACTCCATGTTTTAGCGGCTATTAAAAGACTAAGAAAAGCAAGCAATTAAGGACTAGCAACTATAAAGATTAAAGTGAACGTGTGCTCAATTTTTTTTTTAAAAAAAGTCAAATCCTACCCATGCAGACCAAGCTTGTTTTGAGACTATATATATATATATATATATATATATATATATATATATATATATATATATATATATAAAATTTCTAGTTTAAAAAAATTGAATTGAGTTTGAATAAAATATAACGGTTCTATACAAAATACCTGAGACTCACTTGTTTCAAGGAAATGTTGACGAACTTCAAAAGTCACAGAAACTGTTTAGAACAGTATTTCTCAACCTTGGACTTCAACACTCAGAATTCTCTAAACCAGTGTTGCTGGCTGGGGAATTCTGGGACTTGAAGTCCAAACGTCTTAAAAGTTGCTGAGAACCACTTAATTAGAAGCATCCTCTTGAATAACTCAGAGGTTGAAAATGTCAACGCAGAAAAATCCGTTAGTGTAAATGTTACCCAGGGATGGCTCAAACTTCGCAACTCCAGTTGCTGTGTTTATGAATGAGTGATTCCTCCGTTTTCCCTGCCTTAGGAACATCAGCTGGCTTTCAATGTGAACATCTAAGGCAAGGGTGTCCCACTATGTCAACTTTAAGATTTGTGGACTTCAACTCCCAGAATTCCCCAGCCACCTATGCAAGGCTGAGAAATTCTGAAAGTTGAAATCCACAAGTCTTAAAGTTGCCAAAATTGGAGACCTCCAATCTAAGTCACCCCCAACGACAAGTGGACTAAGCTCATATCAATCAATAACTCATAAATCAAGGTATGAATTGGCCCTCTCAAAATATGTAATAATATAACTTCAGAGGTGCCCAAAAGGTTGGGGACCGGTTCCATGGAGAAAGGTTTTTCTGCAAATTGGAGGATGCGTAGTTGTGTGTGCTGCCTGCATCCTGTGGATGGGGCTTTGCTTGTACTGGTCCATGGACTGGGGTTTTGGGAAATCCTGATATAACTCATCTATTTAGGAACAGGGAACACCAATTGCTTGGCTGCCTGGTATCTGGGTATCATAAATTTCCCAGCATTGACTGAGGTTACTAATCTGTAGTTGATTGAATTTCTGGGCTATTTTTTTTATTTAACTAATGGTCTACTCGGTTACTCAGCCAGCCTCTTGAAGACCAGGAGAACACCAAGGTTAAATCTGTCCTATGATCATGATAGGGGGAAGGAACAATCATAGAACCATAGGCTGGAAGGTGCTTTGGAGGCCTTTTGGTCAAAGTAGCCCAAAGTAGGCAGGAGACCACATATCATCCAGGAGAAATGACTGTCCAATCTTTTCTTGGAAACCTCCAATGACAAGAGCACCCACAACCCCAGAAAGCAAGCTGTTCCACTGATTAACCGTTCTCACTGTCAGGAAATCCTTAGTTCCAGGTTGGATCTCCCTCTGATGAGCTTCTACCCATTGCTTCTTGTCCTGCCCACCCTGTCCTGTGCTACGTATCCTTTGACTCTGACAGTGTCTGGGGAGATCATCTTTCTCATTTCCAATCAGAAAGTCCGCTGCTCTTCCAGAGTAGGCTTGCAATTTGTCGTTGAAATCATACTTGATCTTCCAGTTTGACTTCAGGATTTTGGACTTGATTCTGGTTGGGAAACAGTCATAGGGAGAAGCCATAGTTGATCAGGGACTGAACAAGATGCACAAGAAAGGCAGGTGGGAGGATAAATCACAGAGGCGTAAAGCTAGCAGTCTCCAAAAAAATAAAAATAAAAAATGGCTCACTTTTGTCTTCACGACAAGTCACTTTGGTGGAAACCCAAAATTTCTTCGGCTAAGCTGATGAGGCCGTTGTCTTCCAAGGCGGCCACCAGATTCTGAATAGTGGCCTTTTTGCCCTCTGAGTCAATGTATCTGCGGAGCATCTGGTAGGCTTGTTCGTACAGGCCTTCGCGATCGTATTCAATGGCCAGGTTGTCAATGAAGGGGTCCCGAAGGGCCCGGCACTTGGTCTGCAGGTAGAGGGACCGGCCCACCTGTTTCCACTTCTTTGACACCAGTTTGGCAAATTTCTGGTGGTCATCGGCGGTGATTTTTCGGTTGGCTGCAAAAGGGAGGCGGAAAATCAAATTATTTTAACATCCTTGCGTGTCTCCTCTTTACAAAGATATTATGATTAAGCTACAGTTCTGTACACTGCCTCTCCCAGCCTGGATCTCCCCCAAGATGCACAGGTAGCCCTCAAGTTACAACCAGGTAGTCCTCAAGTTATAACCAGTCGCTGTTTGAAGTTACAATGGCACTGAAAAATGACCGCTTTCACACTTGTGATTGTTGTCGCATCATGTAACCGTTCTTCATATGTTCTCACTTCCAGTCCCTTAATCATCTTTGCTGCTCTTCTCTGCACCCGTTCTCCCTGGAATATCTTTTTAAAAGCTCCATGGGAGGGAAGAGGGTGCATTCTTGGGGGGGTGGGTTCAAGGTTGCACAAGGGCTGCATGTGGCTCACAAGCTGAATTTTTGGCAAAACTACTCTAGTCTAGACCAGGGGTAGTCAACCTTAGCTCTTTTATGACTCGTGGACTTCAACTCCCAGAATTCTTGAGCCAGCATAGCTGGCTCAGGAATTCTGGGAGTTGAAGTCCACGAGTCATAAAAGAGCTAAGGTTGACTACCCCTGGTCTAGACAAAAGGTCTTGTTCAACACCAGGGGTCCTCCAACTTGGCCATTTTAAGACTTGTGGACTTCAACTCCCAGAATTCCCCAGCCAGTGAATCGCTGCAGTTATTAAGTTAGTAACGTGGCTGTAAAGTGAGCTTGGCTTTCCCATTAACTTTGCTAGTCGGAAGGTCGTGGGGCTCTGCCACCGCAGTAAAAACACGCCAGCTGGGGTGCGTGTGAATTTTGATCACATGACCACCAGGATGCTGCAATGGTCACAAGTGTGAAAAGGGATCATATCACTTTTTTTCCAGTGCCTTTGACGGCCACTAAACTTTGAACGGCCACTAAACGAACGGCTTTAAGTTGGGGGGGAGTACCTGTACAGTCCTTGTGGAGTACATACTCAGCACGTCTGCACCCGGTCACGTTTCGGCTTTCCATTCGCTATCTCTGCCCAGCGTTTTTGTCTCAAGTCCCTGCCTGAAACACTCACCAAATTGCTGGTTCTGGAAAATGAAGGTGTCCTCTTTAAGCGGAGACTCTGAAATCCCTGGAGGGCCGGAAGACGGAGGGGAGGAATTCAAAGTGAGAAGGGGAGGATCTGAAGAGAGCTGCGACTTCAGGGATGGAGGGAGAATTTCTTGAAAAGAAAGACTCATGAACAATTCTTCCAGCTCTGTTATTTCTTCATCTCTGAGGTGATCCGGCTTCAAAAAAAAAAAAAAAAAAGGGGGGGGGGAGAAATGTTTTTGTGAATTATTTTCTGTATTAGTTAGCATTTTTTTCTAATCTGAGTAACAAGAGTTGGAAGGGAACTCGGAGGTCATCTAGTCCAACCCCCTGCTCTAGGAGAAGAACTTATATCATTCTGGACAAATGGCTGTCTAAACTCTTCTTAAAAACCTCCAGTGATGGAGCACCCACAACTTCTGGAGGCAAGTCGTTCCACTGATTATTGTTCTAACTGTCAGGAACTTTCTCCTTAATTCCAGGTTGTTTCTCTCCTTGATTAGTTTCCATCTGTTGCTTCTTATCCTGCCTTCAGGTGCTTTGGAGCTTGACTCCCTCTTTTTTGTGGCAACCCCTGAGATATTTGGAAGACTGCTATCGTGTCACCCCCAGTCCTTCTTTTCACTAGACTAGACATACCCAATTCCTGCAACTTTTCTTCAAATATTTTAGCCTGCAACCTCCTGATCATCCTTGCTGCTCTTCTCCGCCCTCTTTCCAAAGTCTCAAAATCTTTTTAATGTAGTGGTGACCAAAGCTGGATGCAGTATTCTAAGTGTGGTCTTTCCAGAGCAGTATAAAACTGCTCAGATCTAAAACAAGGAAAGCTGGAACGCTTGGTTGAGAAAGACGAGGGGACCTTCCTTCATGTGGACGCTGGGCCTGCATTTTAGCGGCTGTCTCTCCGAAGTGACAACAAGCCACCCATTTCAGGCTCTGACACTTACCTTCTGCTGAGAGATGTATGCCAGACAACGTTCTTCTTCCTGGATGAAGGAATCCAACTTTTCAGCACCAGCCTTCAGCTCCATCTTGATGGGCTCTAGGCTGGTCAAGGACGAGAAGACCTTGAGATTCTCCTGGAGAGCTTCCTGAAGCTTTCCTCGGTAGTAGCTTTGCAGGAACTTTAGGCACTTCTTTTCCTTGTGGAATTTGAGTTGGATGATCAAATCAGGGTCACTACAATGGATCTTCAGAATATCCACCCCACTAAAGTCCTTTATGGATTCTGCGGAGGAAAGAAGGGGGAAAAGGGAAAGTGAATCAGAGGGTTTACTGCTGGCTGCAGCAGCAGAAGATCTAAGCTGGTGTTTTTCAAACTTGGGGATGTTAAGGTTTGTGGACTTCAACTTCCAGAAGACCAGCTGGGATTTGAAGCCCATACATTTTAAAGTTGCCAGGTTTGAAAAATGCTAGTGTGGTTTTTCCTTCCTGCAGGTAAAAGTTAAAAGGTAAGTAGATGGTGACTCATCTACCCTTAACTTTATGACTATGGTGACTGGAGAATGGGTTGAACTTATCCACTATAATTTTTTTGGGAACAGAAAACAGAAGCCCCGTGGGTGTAATCTCTTTCTGCAAACATAAGTAAACATGACTCAGCAGATCCAAGGAAGGAAATAATAATAATAACAACAACAACGAAACTGCCCAATTATGGATGAAACATGTAACGGTGATACCCTCTGTCATCAGGGCACTGGGAACTATATCCCAAAACTTTGCAGAATACATCAAGAAACTGCAGCTTCCTGCAATAACTCCAGCAATGTTACAAAAAAACTGCGGTACTCGGAACATCTTATATTTCAAGGAGGTACCTGGTTGACACCTAGGATGCTGGTAGCAACCCGTGTCAACCATCAGCGCCAGCCAATTTGAATGTTCAGTTGACTGAGGTTCATGTCTAATGAATAAAAGATAATTATTATTATTATTTACACAGGGTAGTAGTGGAAAGCATTTTGAACTTGGAAGAAAAAAATCTGAGCTGTTTAGCCAACTGGACAACTGATTCCCACTGGTCATAAACACATGGGGTAGGTGGACCAAGGCTAATGACAGCAATATACCTGCAAATGCCGACCTCAATGCTCTGTATACACAGGGCTTCAACTGTGGGTCTCTGTAGAATGTAGGTAAAACGTCCGCTCCCGAAATTGCTCGGACAAACAGGTGAGCACTGCCTACCCATTTATCCATACTGGCCGCCATCCTGAAAATGCCTGTTGAAATGGAACACAAATCAGCCATTACAGAGACGCCTTAAAACAGGGGTCCCCAACCTGCGGGCTGCAGCCCACTAGTGGGCCATGAGGGGTTCTGCAAACAAGCCACAGGAACGGTCAGCAAGCACACATACACATACATCCCCAGTTGCGAGCAGGCACATGTGCACGCTGCTCGTGGAAATGGAGCTATGGGCACACGCTTGCCAGCCGCTCGCCTGGAACCATCTCCCCCCCCCCGCCGGTCCACGAAGCTGGAAGCGTTGGGGAACTCTGTCTTAAAGCATCCTCATCCGAAGACAATCATCAACCAAAGGTAGTCCGACAATTTCTAGAGGCAAGCTGTTCCACTGGTTGTCCTCATTGTGAGGAAGTTTCTCCTTAATTCCAGGTTGCTTCTCTCTTTGGTCAGTTTCCAACCACTGTTTCTTGTCCTGCCTTCTGGTGCTCTGGTGAGCAACCTGAACCCCTCTGCCTTGTGGAAGCCCCTCAGATACGGAAACACTGCTATCATGTTTCCCCTATTTCTTTTCTTTAGACTAGCCAAACCCAAGTCCCGCAACCGTTCTTCGTACGTTTTAGCCTCCAGGCCTTAGATCATCTTAGTTGCTCTTCTCTGATTTTTTTCTAAACTCTCAACATCTTTTTTTGTGATCAAAATTGGCTATAGTATTCGAGGTGTGGTCTTACTAGGGCTTTATAAAGTGGTACTAGTACTTTGTGTGATCTTGATTCCATGCCTCTGTTTATACAACCCAGGATTGTTCACCAAGATTCCAAAGTCCCTCTCACAGTTGCTGCCTCCAAGCCAGGTCTCACCCAATCTGCATTTGTTCCTTTGGTTTTTCCTGTCTAAGGGTAGGACTTTGCTTTGCTGCATGTTGAAACTCATTTTGTTGGACAGGGCCCACTGTTCAAGACTGTCAAGATCTTTTTGGATCCTGAGTTTCTCTTCTGGGATGTTGGCTATTCCTGACAGTTTGGTGTCATCTGCAAATCTGATGAGTTCCCCTTCAATTCCCCCGTCTTAAGTCATTGATGAAGATATTGAAGAGTACTGGGCCTAAGATGGAACCCTGTGGTACTCCACTGCTTACGTGCCGTTGAGGACAACTCGTTTTTATTATGCTGAGTCTATTATTTTTAAATATGGCTGCAACCGGTCAAGCTTTCAGGGTGTCGCCCAACACACCCGGTGTCTTCCCTCCACTGAACTTGAGCAAAGGTAGATGTGCAAAGGGCATGTGTGCATGAGTCACGTTCAACAGTGTGCTAATGCCTAGTGATTCACTTAACAACCGTGGCAAGAAAGGTCGTAAAATGGAGCCATGCTTTACTTAACGACTGTTTTGCTTAGCAAGAGAAATTTGGGGCTCAGTTGTGTCTGTAAGTCGAGGACTACCCTGTACTAGGAACAGGTTTAGGGATGGCTAGAAACCAGATGGTCTCCTACCTGAGCAGGGGGTTGGACTAGAAGACCTCCAAGATCCCTTCCAACTCTATTCTGGTCAATGGATTAACCTCTTATCGGTCAATCAGACAGGACCGGATTAGCACCCAAAGCACCAGTTGGGCCAATGACTTTATTCCGGAATAACGACCTCGCTCCGTCGAGGAAAGGCGGAAGGCCCGGCGCCTCTCCCTCCCTCCCTCCTTGCCTCGGCCCAGCGCTGCCTCCTTCCTCCTCGCTCTAACGGCGGAACGAGGACGCCCTTCCCGGCAGCGCCTGACCGAGAGCCGAAGCCGACGACGGCGCTGCTAAACGGCGCGTCTTGGAAGGGAGCCGCGCCGCCGCCGCCCTTCCCGGAAAGGCCGAGACGCGGGACTCGGAGAGGCGCTGCCCTCCCCACGATCTTGCTAGGACCCGGGGCTCTTCCCGCTGTCTCCTCCCGAAGGGAAAGCCGGCTCCCCCTTTGCCCACCCTGCAGACTAGACCCGCAGCCCCCCCTCCGCCTCCTCGGGAGCCCCAGGCCCGGGGACTGGGGCAGGCGGGCAGGCGAGCGGGCGGGCTAAACCGAAAGTGCGGCCAGACGCCTCCCGAGCAGCGTCCGCCCGACATGTGGGGATGGTGGCGGCGGTGGTGACCCCGATCGCGGCCGCTCCGGAGCCCCAAGGCGGCGACAGCTGGAAACAGCTGCAGGGGGGGATCCGAGGGAAAGCGGTCCGCCCGGGACAGGCGCCGAGGAGGCCCTTCGCCAGGACGGCCCGGGCTGGGGGCGCCGAGGGCGAAATCGCGCCGAGGGGAGCAGGGCGCGCCGAGTCGGGCAACCCGGACAGCCCGCGGCGTCTCCGGAGTCCGCATCTGCCCCTTTGAAGCGCTCTGACTTCAGGGGCTCAGCAAAGAGCGCTCCGGACCCCATTCCGACGCCTCGCGAAGCCCCGGGAAGGGATCGGAACCCGAGGGCCGGCCCCCGTCGCCCCCGCTTTGCCACGCAGCCCGGCGGGCTTCCCAGCCGGAGGTCGACGGAGAGGCCGGGAGGGGGACCCGCCTGTTCCGAATCGGCCTCCCCGGGGCTCACCGGGCGGCGAGAGGGGAGCCCCGCGCCCTGCCGATCCCCTTCCGCGGTGCCTACCCGCCTCCAGGCGCGCTGCCCCGGCCGCCGCCGCCTTCCGCCTCTGCGCGTCAGCCGCTCCGGGCTAAGAAGCCATCCCAGCACGTGCGCGCCTTCCCGGGCTAGGATCGGGCGCCGCTTCTTCGTGGGCTGCGGAGACTTTTCCCGCCGCCGGCCCGGCCCACTCACACACACACACTCACACACACACACACCAAAAAGAACCCGAAGAACTTCGGGGGCGCCGCGCCAGTTACTTTGTGGCGCCGTCCGGGTTCCCGAAGAGCGGGGCCCGGCGCGAGTGGCCGGAGGAGCTGCCAATCCGGCCGGGGCTCCCTTTCATTGGGCAAGCGGTGGCCGGAGGTGGGTGAGGGGGGGGGCAGAGAGACATCTCCGTAGCCAATCAGAGGGGAGCCAGTGAATTTCTTGATACCGTATTAGGAAGCGGACGCCTTCCGGGAAGTTTTGCCTGCAGGAGAATCCCGGGCTCTGATTTTGGGCACGGTAGGTAGACGGGGTGCTTTGGGGAAGAGAGGCGGGGGGAATAGAGGAGCCAAGAAGCGTGCCTCTGAGCATGCCTAGAGGGCCCGGCCCTTGTCACCGCAAATGCCTGGCGCGTTATCACAGCCCAGGGCGCCGTGTCGTGCAGAGGCCAGCCACGTGTGGCTGGGTAGAATAAGGCGCGGATCTCTCTCCCCTTCCTGCTGACATTCAGGAGGCAGCTGTCAATCCTGACGACCAAGCGACCTGACTCGTAGCTTGAAATTCCCAATGAGCCAGTCCAGTCAGCCCCCTTGTAGCCATCCTGAAGAGCTCTGCGCTTTGTGCCTCGTTTCCTTCTAGGTTCGTGGACTTCGAATCATAGATTAATCTGGTTGGAAGGGACCTTGGAGATCTTCTAGTCGAGCCCTCTGCCCAAGCAGGAGGTTATGCCATGCCGGACAAATGGTTGCCCAACCTCTTCTTGAAACCCACAACTTCAACGGATAGTTAGGACTGCAGGAAAAAAAAAAAAAAAAAACCATCGCAACCAGCCTGTCTGCTGCACAGGCCAGAAAGAGGGATGAGAAAATATCTACAGACCCCCCCCCCTCTTTTTTTTTTTTTTCTCTGAAGACGTTTCGCTCATCCAAGAAGCTTCTTCAGCTCTAACCGGATGGTGGAGAACGGAAGGATTTATATTCTTGTATTTTCAAAGAAAAACAAAGTCCAGTTGCCTCCTGAAAAAAAAAAAACACCTTTGGGATAACCTGTCCTGGTGGACTGAGAATCTCCATGGACATTTAAGTAATCCACTTACATCATCAAAGCAATAAATCTGAAATGTGAGCTCCAGGCTGTTTGAAGGAAGAGTGTGAGAAAGCCTGTTGCTAGTTGGGAAACAGACAAGAGAGAATGGATTATTTATTCACAGAAGGAAAATCTGGGAGCTTTTCTGAGCAGTGGGTCCATGTGTTTCGTGTTTCATTTTGAAATGCAATGCCAGGGGCTCCGTTGCCTGATGACTTAGGAAGTGCAGGGGGCAGAACAAACACACTTTTTATGAGCAAGGATAATGAGCCGGAAAATCAAAGGTCAGTTTGGGGCTGGGCTGAACTGAACTACAAATAAAAAGAAAAGTGTGCCTTAAATCAAGGAAGTGACTTCATCCATTCTGTCTTTCGGGAAAGTAAAAGTAGCGGCTGATCTTTTCTCCTCCTTTTTCAGATCTGCGGTGAGAAAGCAGGAAGGGAAGCAGGAATCTCTGCTCCGGAGTGAAAGGATTCTTGGTAGGTGATATGAAAATTCTCAAATTCTCAATCTCATTTTCTTTCTTTCTTTCTTTCTTTCTTTCTTTCTTTCTTTCTTTCTTTCTTTCTTTCTTTCTTTCTTTCTTTCTTTCTTTCTTTCTTTCTTTCTTCTCCTCCTCCTCCTGCTAATAAATCCCTGCTTTTATTCCTGGATTCTCCCCCAGATGTGCTGGGCATTCAATTCAAGATGCTTGGCGACTGATTCATACTTATGACAGTTGCTGGGTCCCGGGGTCACGTGATCCCCTTTGGCGACTTTCTGACAAGCAAAGTCAACGGGGGAAGCCAGATTCACTTAACAACCGGATCACTCACTTAGCAGCTGCAGGGATTCGCTTAACAATGGTGACAAAGTCGTTAAACGGGGCAAAATTCACTTGGTCTCACTTAGCAACATAAAGTCTGGGCTCAGTCGTGGTTGTAAGTCATGAACTATCTGTAGCTCTCTGAGTCCACTGGAGGAAGGAGCTGGTTTTTTAAAATCTATTTTTCGATTGGGATACAGGTTTGGTTTTTTTTTTTTTTAAATAACCTATAGATTTTATTTTATTTTTTTAAATCACAACCTAAAGCAGCTTTTGGTTTCTTTTTTTTTATATATTTCTCTTCTCTCTCTTCACAAAATGGCGCCACCACATTTTGACAGCTCTGGGATGGGGAGATGCAAAAAAATTAATAATAATAATTGGCTATGGGGGAAGAAGATCAGGGTTTGATATTTAGTGTGTGTTTTCTTTCAGCGAAGAAGGAAACCCTCTTGAACAGGTCCCCAAAGGATGCCGGAGACAGTAGGAGATGCCTGGAGCTACGTTCCGGAGGAAATTCTCTCCCACATCTTTCGCTACTTATCTCTGCAAGACAGACATGTGGTTTTCCAGGTCTGCCAGAAGTGGGCTGCAGCGGTTTCTACTACCTGTGTGTGGAGCTATACAGAAGTCAGGTAAGAATGGAACCTAATGGGCCTGTAGTTGAACTGGCTTAATAGGCGGAAGGGTGTGGTGCACAAGGATATAATACTCATAAAAGCAGTTTGCACTAGGTTAGGGTGCATGCCCCATTCTATTTTTTAAAAAAAAATACTGATTTTTTTAATACAATTCAAAAGTACTTATTCAACAAATGTGTTGTCTGAGTTTATCGTTCACTAATACAGATTGAATTCCTAATCCCTTATTTTTTTCTTCAGCCATTGATAAAATAAGTCCCAAGTTTGATAGTATTCTGTTTCTTCTTCTTTTTCTTTCAACCTCCGAGTAAGTCTGCCCATTTCCGCACAATCTAGCATTTTTTTTTTAATTATTTCTTCCTCTGGTGGTATTTCTTTATTTTTCCAATATTGTGTGAATATGATTCTTGCCACTGTTATCACATGCAAAATCAAGTATATATAATTTTTTATGAAGATTGAATGTAATTAAGCTATGTATAAGCTAAACTTTTATTGATAAATATAGTAATGATGTTCTTATTGAGTGGATATAATTAGAAATGTACTAACCTGAATATGAGATAGTAAAAATGTTAGGGGAAAAAGAGAAGAAATATTTGATGTTGTAAGATTTTGTTATTGAATTATTGAATAACCCAGTCACCACGTTGCTTTTTAAATATTCAAATGTAAAATTGGAAAATTAATAAAATATATAAAGAAATAAAAATAAAATCAAGTATATATTTTTGTTTGCCAAGCGTTTCTGGCATTATACCTAATTAAAAAAGTTCAGGTTTAAAATCTACATGTTTTCCCAACATTTTTTCTAGCCAAGCATGCACCATTCTAATCGTGCTATGGGTGGTTTAGCTTTGGCTTAGGATATATAATCTAGCTCAGTGGTTCTCAACCTTTTTAATGCCATGACCCCCAACCGGTTGTAAGTCGAGGACTACTCAACCGGTCGTAAGTCGAGGACTACTCAACTGGTGCAGCACCGTTTGCAGAATGGGACTTGGGTAGAGACAGCCTGGACAATTCCTATTGGCTTTTGAAAGCCAATAGAATTAGACTCTATTCAAGAGAGTCTATTCTGTTGGCTTTCAAAAGCCAATAGAATAAAAGGGAGTAGCACAGCTAAGGAAAAGGGGAAAAGAATGACGGACTGCGTTGTTTGGTGACCCCCGTTAAATGGTCGTTCGACCCCAAATGTGGTCCCGACCCACAGGTTGAGAACCGCTGATCTAGCTCCTAGGGTGTCCAGCTGAGATTATGGCTTAGTGCATTGTATGAACCTTGCCAGTTGTAACTTACTCAATAAATGATTGTAACTTACTCAATAAATGATTAAGGAGACAATGGATTTCAATGAGGCGTGAAGCTGTTCTGCGTAGCCACCAGTTGTAAAGAAGTTTGTCAGGAGTCTCCATTCAGACCACAGATTTGCACTTGTACAGCACACCTGTACTCCAAACCTACCAGACCAGTTTCTGATGAACTTTGAGACGTGAAGCAACCTGGTATAAAGACAATGATTGATGAGTGTTTGGCAGCTTGTGTGTCTGACTCCTAGTTTGATCAACACAAAGGCTGACGTCAGAATCATAATAGAATAGAGCTGGAAGGGATCTTCAAGGTCTTCTAGTCCAGCCTCTGTGCCATTTCAGACAAGTGGCTGTCCAGTCTCTTCTTAAAAACCTCCAGTGATGAAGCACCCACAACGTCTGAAGGCAAGCTGTTCCACTGGTTAATTGTCAATATCAATACACAATTCAACATCAATATGTATTTTAATAGAACATGTTCTAAGTAAATTGATTAATTGATGGCAGGCAGGCAGGCAGGTGATAGACAGACAGACAGACATGTTTTGAAGATTCCCAACAGAGAGATGTTTTGAGGATTCCCAAGATAAATAGAAGATAGACAGACATGTTTTGAGGATTCCCGAGAGAGAGAGAGAGAGAGAGAGAGAGAGAGAGAGAGAGAGAGAGAGGGAGAGCGAGGGAGGGAGGGAGGGAGAGAGAGAGAGAGAGAGAAGGAGAGAGAGATGGGAGTCTGGATCTATGATCAGGATTGTTTTGATTTGCTGTAATTCCAACATTGTGGTATTTTTCCATTCCCACCCTCCCCATGGTTTCCCAGGTGTGTTGCCGAAGATGATGCCACACTGCAGCATTTGCACCAGTTCCTGTGCCACATCAAACGCCTCAAGATGGTGTTTGATCAGTCCAAGGAGGGAACCCGTAAGAAAGTCTCCCAAATCCTGGACCTTCTGGCCAAGCAGAACCACAAGCTGCAGGCCTTGTGCATCGAATGCACGGGAGAGAACCCCTATTTCTATTCCGGCCAAGACATCCTGCAGAGCATCGGGGGCATCTGCCAGAGCCAGAACCAAATTGACCTCCAGCATATTGATTTCCGGGGAATGCCCTTCACTCTGGACGATGGGATCGTCCACTTGGTGGCCTCCAGTAGCCCAAATCTGCACACCTTGTACCTTAACAACCGCACCTTGGTTTGCAACGTCACCCCTGAGGCCATCATTGAGCTTCTGAAGGCTTGCCCCAGATTATCCACCCTGGGGGTCTATTACGCCAGCCTTTCCGATGATGTGTTTAAGGAACTGGTGACATCCAAGCGGTCAACTTTCAAGTGCCTGGATATTTTCTGCGAGCGTCTGGACAAATACATTCCCGTGATCTCGGAAGAACTCTGGGCTTTGGTGCGCAACAAATATCCCCGGCTCTACGTCCAACTGGAATTGGACCCCACGGTCCCACAGTGGAAGATCCCTCGCATCTTGAAGCCCAACATCCCAGTGACGGAGCTGCAGCTGAATACTTACACATACATAGTGTATCAAATTCGCTTTGCCACCAACAACTATAGCAGCACGTTGGAGAAGCTGGTCCTTCGCACCACCTCTTCCGACGAACTGAACGACTCGCTCATTGGCTTGGCCCGAAAATGCACAGGCTTGAAAGAGGTCCACTGTTTCTGCGTGGTCAGCCATGGGGTGGTGGAAGCTTTCCTTTCAGGGTGCCCGAAATTGAAAAGCTACACCCTAAAGACCTCCAAAGAACTCAGTCCTTGGCAACCCACCACCATCATGTGATTGTGCTGAAGGGTTTTTACTTTTGCATCACAAGAAGATGGACTTCAGCAACTCAGCTCAGCTTCTTCTTCTACTAGGTTCGCCCATGATTTATTTATTACATGGTCCAAGCTTAATCCCAGCTTGTTTGTCCAAAACAAAATCAGCGACCAGAAATTAAGAATGGACGTACTGTTCCTTGAGAGCTCTAAGCTCTAGTATGACTGTGTGCATGTATGTATGTGGGTGTCAAAGTCACGTCACGTGATGTGTTGCAACAATTTTTTCCATTGGCAATGGGATGAGCACGGTTTCGCCATGACGCAGCTGGTCCGCGGGCCGGCAGTTTTGACACCCCTGGTTTAGGGAATTATGCAAGCCCAACCCATTTGGATCAGAAACTCTTGGGAACGCAAACTATGGTTTAGGCCAGGGCAATACATGAAATCTGACTTTTTGTCTGGTGAAATGCAATCATGGTTAGAAGCCTATTTTAGCTGATGTCCACAGGATAGGGCAAATCCTTGGTGACCAACAACCATCCTGTGTGATTCACAAGAAGATGGACATCAATAACTCAGTTCAGTTCCTTCTACAAGGTTCTCCCATGGTTGATCACTTGGTCCAAGGTGTGATCGCAACTGGTTTCTCCAAAATGAAACCAATAATCAGAAGTCAAGAATGGAGGTGTTGTTCCTTAAGAGCTCTGAGCTCGTGTGTGTGTGTGTGTGTGTGTGTGTGTGTGTGTGTGTGTGTGTGTGTTTTAAGAGTTAGGGCATTCTGTAAATTCAGCCCATTTGGATCAGGAAACCTTGGAAATACAGTCCATGGTTTAATGCAATGTAGGATCTCAGACTTTGGCAGGAACACAAGCATGGACAGAAGGCCATTTTAGTTGATGAGAACATGATGTCTTGAGCAGCGGCCCCCAGACTTTGCGGCTTGGTCCGACGGGGGGGGGGGAGAGGGGAACTGGGCCACGTGAGCATGCATGTGTACACGCAGCACTTGCACAGGTGGCAGACCAGGGTGTCAGTGTAGACAGTACACAAGTACAGTGCTTTTTAACTAAATTCATAATAAACACACACCAGGATAGAAATAAATTCCACAAATGCAATTCAAGCCAACTTAAAACCCATTACTACCAAACAGTGTGAGCACATAATTTTAGTTTATTTATATAAACATTTATGTTCATGTCTTCCCCGGCAAGTACACCATATCTTTGTGTTCCTTGGCACTGGACCTAGATTAATAAGAAGAGTGAGTTGCTGAATTGTTTATTTTCTTTACTGTTGTTGAATTATAGTACAAAGCATATTATATTTTATTATCCTACTTCACAATAAAAGCCCCAGCATTTTATCATTTTACTGACCACACTCACCTCCTCTGCACCGCACCATTTTAATACACTACAGTGTGGTTTATTTGGGTTGCATATCTAGCCAATTGTGATTTATTCAACACAATAAAAAAATATGGCAATGGGTTATAACCCACAATGGCTTGATTCCCAGATCAAGCTAAGGCAAAGAAAAACAGGTTACTATGATTTAGTTTAGAGTGTGAATTTGTCAACCTTGTGATTAGGATCAATTTGATTTAGTGTAACGTGAACCAGCCAATGTGGCTGTCCATGTGAATTTGGGAAAGTGATGTAAAGGTTCACACATGTAGGACATATCCTTGTTAAGGAAGGCAGTTTTAAATAATAAATAATAAGATAACCTTAGTCAATTTTACTGTGAGCACACTGGCCCACATTAAAAATGAAATTCTGTTGCCGGTTCTTGAAAGTATTTCTACTCATACATACATACATAACACAAATATACACATGCTATATACATACATGTATATGTACGTATGTATTTCATTGGGTAATGAAATGTCTGCAAGGAAACAACCAAGCTGGAGCTACTGTAATTCCATACAAATATATACATATGTTAATCACTGTCCATTTTGGACACAGCGAAAAGGGAAAACTTGAGAGTTCACAAGATGGATGCTATAATAAGAGCAATTCTGGATGGGCATTATGGAATTGAGAAACCTGGAAAATACCTGGTTGGGAAAATCGGTGTACGAGACTAATAAAATTATTATTCTAAGCAGATGTACTTGAGAAAAAAATAAAAATTAAAGTCCCAATTCACTTTTTCAACTTTCCACTGCCTGTATGCATCTCCCCTTAAGCCATAATCCAACCACCATTCAACAGTGGTTGCTGAATGAGCCTTCTCCTACAGAGAATAGGCATCCACGAAACAAGTTAAGCCTCAACATGCTTAACCATGGCTTATTAAGCCACCTTGAGCTGACATAACCCAAAACACTAAGCTGTAAAATACTGGGCGACAAGCCACACCGGCTGGGCTCCTGCGAGACACCAAGCCAACCTGTGGCTACATGGATTAACGTGCCGCGCAAACCATGGTTTGTTCTTTTTTGTGAAGCTAGGAATAGAATGGCCAGATTGAAAGGGAGGGGGGAGTCATTGCCAGCCAGGGCTTCCCGTCCTCCAGCCCCGAAAAGGGCCAACCACCTCCGGGAAGGAAGGAGTTAAAAGGGCCAGGTGAGGCGCTTCCCCGGCTCCGAGCATGCGCACTCCACCTACCTGCCGCCGTCTAAGAGCGGCAGCGGAGGCGCTAATTGCGCGCAGGTGCAGCTCGGGAGCCACGTGGAGCTGAGGCAGAAAAAGAAGGCGCGATGCGTGGCGCGCCAGGCTGGTGGTCGGCGGGAAGGTGGGTATTTGTGAGCCTGCAGGGGTTTTTTCCCCCCCGAGTGGGGTGCTGAGCCGCTGAGACTTCGCGTAACCGCTGGCTCAGCCCCCGCGCTCGCAGTATTTGCAAACCGTGGTTTAACTTTCCCTGGGATTAAACTTAGTTTCTTGGCTTTGCTCCATGCGTGCGACTCTGAGGGGTCTCTGAGCTTGATAGTTTTCTTGAGACGTTTCATGACTCAAAGTAGGGGCATCCTCGCTACTACAAGGGAGTGGGGTTTGTGTAGTGAAGGAGTAGGAGAAGGGTGGAGGAAGAGGAGGGCAGTGGGGTCCTGGGTGCTCTCTCAGATTGGTAGTTCTTATGCAGACGTTTCATTACCCCAAATAGGTGACATCAGTGTTAGCAGTGACACTGAGAGGGTTACCTAGTTGGGTCATGAAACGTCTGCAAGAAAACAGGAGAAGCGCACTCATTTCAATCTTGAGCAAATATTCTACTTTATTGGCATACAACCGCATGGCAACGACGATCTTTGGGATGCGCTTAGAGTAGCTTTAGGCCAGTGTAGGTGCCCTACAGATGTGTGCAAAGCTGGCTGAGGAATTCTGGGAGTGGAAGTCCACAAGTCTTAAAAATTGCCAAAGTTGAGGACTCCCGTCCTATAACATTTAGGAGTGCCCCTTTGACGACCTTTGGATGTGAGGCGGTTTGTTTTATTAAATTTATTTGCCGCCCAACTCATCGCTCTGGGCAGCTTATAACCCAGCATGCAAAGGGAAATGATTGAAAACTACTTGCTCCTAACCAAAGAAGTGACTGGCTACCTTGCAGGAAAGTGTGTCATAGAAGCCTAGAGGTTGCGCTAAATTAGTTTATTAAACCTGGGTTGAGCTAGCCAGAATTGGCTGGGAGTGCAGAATGTGGTAAGCCAAGTCCAGTAAGATACATTGTGAGTGAGCTGTGCAGGCAGCTATGTTTATTGGAACCTGGCTTATTGAATAAACCCTAGTTGTCTGACTTCACAGGTGCCTTCTGCTCCTAGAGCCTCGTTTTAGAAGGTTCTTGCAATATTCTGAACTATCGCCAAACCGCCTGGAGTGGATTCAGCCCAGGAAATGAGGCTTAAATATTATACATTTTATTTATTACGTATTGAATTTCTGTGCCACTCATCTAACCCATACATCAGCTCTGGTCAGTTTACAATATCGTAAAAGTTAAAAAGAGTTGAAGTCCACAAGTGGTAAAATTGCCAAGGTTGGAGACCTCTGCTGTAGAGTGAAATACTTAGAAATGAATCTTTACTCAATTTTGTTTGTTTGTTTTGTTTCTTTTTGCTGATGGCTTTTCCTTTCTGTTTTGGGGTGGGTTAATTTTGCAGGGAGTCGCCCCTGGAGGATGTCTGACGTGACTGACGATCTTTGGAACTATATGCCAGAAGAAATTATGGCCGGTATATTCTCCTTCCTGTCGGTTAGAGACAGATACGCTGTTTTACACGTGTGCAAGAAATGGGCTGCAGCTGTGGCTTCCTCTGTTGTCTGGAGTTTCACAGAACTTAAGTAAGAAGAAGAGGCGGCTTTTGTTCAGGGGGTGACAGGGCCGCTATTTCATTGGCTGGAGCTCAGGCATCCAATTAAGCCATCATTAGGTTGGCTTGTCATGGGGCAGTCTTTAGGGTTGAGGATCTACAGCCCAGCATAATGTGTGAAGTCAGATGGATGGATAGATGGTTAGATTATAGATAGAAGATAGATAGATAGATTATAGATGATAGATAAGATTATAAAGATAGATGGTAAATAGATGATAGATAATAGATACATAGATGATAGATAGATGATACATATATTATTATTAATAATAATAAGTTGGGAGGGACCTTGAAGGTCATCTAGTTCAACCCCCTACTCAGGCAGGAAACCCTATATCATTTCATACAAATGGCTGTCCAGTCTCTTCTTAAAAACTTCCAGTGTTGGAGCATTCATGGCTTCTGGAGGCAGGTTGTTCCACTGGTTAATTGTTCTAACTGTCAGAAGATTTCTCCTTAATTCTAAGTTGCTTCTCTCCTTGATCAGTTTCTATCTGTTGCTTCTCGTCCTGCCTTCAGGCGCCTTGGAGAATAGCTTGACTCCCTCTTCTTTGGGGCAGCCCCTGAGATATTGGAGGACTGCTATCATGTTCCCCCTTGTCCTTCTCTTTGTTAAACTAGACATACCCAATTCCAACAACCATTCCTTATATGTTTTAGCCTCCAGTCCCCTAATCATCTTTGTTGCTCTTCTCTGCACGCTTTCTAGAGTTTGAACATCTTTTTTACATAGATGATAGAGATAGATAGATATAGATGATGGATAGATAGATACATAGATACATAGATGATAGTGATAGATATAGATGATGGATAGACAGACAGACATAGATAAACTGTATTGTCATTTTTTACTGTGGGCACAATGGCACACATTAAAAATGAAATTTAGTTGCTTGCTCTCAAAGTGTACACCTACATAACACACATTCAAACATCCTATATACAACATATGGACAGACCTTCTATATAGACCCTAGCCTCCTTCCACAAATCATGGGCAAAACAGTTATGATTAATACAGGTAGATGTATGACCACAATTGAGCCCAAAATTTCTGTTGTTAAGTGAGACAATTTGTTAAGCGAGTTTTGCCCCATTGTATGACTTTTCTTGCCACTGTTATTAGCCCAAATCTCTGCAGTGGATAAGTTAGTAACCCGGTCGTTAAGTGAATCTGGCTTCCCCCCTTTGACTTTGCTTGTCAGGAGGTCTCCAAAGGGGATCACGTGATCCCCGGGGACACAGCAACAGTCATAGATATGAGCCAGTTGCCAAGCATCTGAATTTTGATCACACAATCACGAGGCGGCTGCAAAGGTCGTAATTTAACAAACTTTTTTGCCATCATTCTTAAGCATATCATTTTTTCCAGTGCGGCTGTAACTTGGAACGGTCACTAAACAGACTGTTGTAAGTCGAGTCCTTGCCTGCCAATGAGGTCAGAATTGCAAGGGCCTCAATTGTCCCGTCGAGGAACTTGCTCGGTAGCTTCATTAAGGTTTCTTTGTCCCTTTCCTCTCCGCCCCTCCCCACAATCCTTTCAGTTTTGATTTTGAAGATGAAGAAGAAGCCTGCCTGTTAAGGAAGCTGCAAGGGTACCTGGTCCATATCAGACACCTGAAGATTGTACTGAACCAGTACTTGGAGTTAAACCGAAGGCTCGTCACCCAAACCTTGGACATGCTGGCCTGTAAGAGGGCCAGGCTGCGGGCGCTGTGCATTGTCTGCCAGGGGCTGAGTCCTTACTTCTATTCTGGCCAGGATGTCCTGCTCAGTGTCCGCTCCCTTTGCCAGAGCAACCGTAACATCGATCTGCAATACGTCGACCTCCGGCAGATGCCTTTCATCCTGGACAACTGGACGGTGCTGCTCCTGGCTTCCACCAACCCCAATCTGCACACCTTGCTGATCAACAACCGAGTTCCTGGGGTCATCATCCTGAAACCTGAGACTATTGTGGAGGTGGTGCAGATTTGCCCAAAACTTGCGGTTTTAGGGATTTATTACACCAGCCTTTCGAAGAGCCTCCTCCAAGAATTGGGGAAGTCCAACAGGGGACCATTCAGGTGTTTGGACATTCTGTACGAAGGTCTGGAGAAGCAGATTCCCGAAGAATGTTGGGCCATGTTGAGCAGGAGACACCCCCAATTCCGGGTGAAGTTTGAATTTGCTGCCATGGTGGAACCCACCAGGATTCCCGGGGTCCTCAAGGCCAGCATCCCGGTTAAATCTCTGCAGTTTAATTACCTCCATTACATGACTGATCAACTGAGGCTGATCACCAGCTGCTACAGCCAGACCCTGGAGAGACTCATCCTTTACACGGCCTCTTCTGATGCTCTCAACTCTTCACTGGTTGAATTGGCCAAGAAGTGTTGCCATCTGAAGGAGGTTCACTGTTACTGCGTGGTTAGCCAAGACGTGGTGGATGCGTTTCTCTCGCACTGCCCTGGTTTGAGAGATTACACTCTTTCCACCCAACTCTTGTCTTGTATGTTACCAATTATGTGCCCCTAACTTGGCCAGCGTGCAGGTGAACATTCCCGTTCCAAAGCATAAATGCAACACGATTTGGGGCACAAAGGGGTATGATGCACTTTCTTCCCATGGAGTGGGCAATTTAAATAAAATGGTTTTATTTAAATTGCTTTTTAAACCACTTTCTTTTATTTTGATATTACTGTTTTATTAATCTCCTGATCCAGGCATGTACATAAAGGATCTTTACTTTTTTGTTTTTATAAACCCCCCCCCCCCCTTAAAAAAATCTTTTTTATGCACAGTCGGTCACAGAAAGAAAAGCATAGAATTCTTGGGAACAATGTAAAATTTTGTGTACTCTGCATTCTGAATTTTCATTCAGCTGCAGATTTTAAAATTTTCTAACTCTTGTTTATTTGGCAAACACCATGGTAACTTTGGATTCACAATAAAGATTTGCACATAATTAACAGTTTGTAGTTTTCTTGCTGTTTCTTTAAATGCTTGGGCAAAAAAGTCACCTTTTTTTTTTTTGTTAATGCAGGTCCCACATTGCATTAAGTCAAAGTCAGAGATGCAGAGCCTGCTGAGTGAAGGTTTTAAGTAGCCTCTGAGCATCTCTAGATTTTGGTTCTGACTTGTGGTTTCTCATGACATAAAACGGCTCAGTTTCCACAATGGAAAATTCTTCTGTCATTCTGTTTTTAATTGCGTTGAAACTAAAGTTGTTTCTGGCGAGGTGCAGGTATTCCTTGCTTAGTGACTGGTTGCTTAGCAACCATTCAAGATAGGATGAACTCCCCACTCCTAAAAAAGGTATTTATGACCTGATTCCACTGGCTGCACCCCCTCTGCAGTGGTTTAAGCACTTGGCAACTGGCTCACCTCTTCGTCCAGTTGAAGCATTCTGGGGTCCCGTGACCAGGATTGACGACTTTGGTTTCCAGCCTCTAAAAAAAAATCACCTATAGGAATACATAGATTCACTTAACGACTGTGGGATTTGCTTAAGGACTACTGCAAAAAAAAAAGTCATAAAATCCAGTACCTCACGTGGGTCCCTTGAGTTATAACCATCATAACTCACAAAGAAAATTCTGGGTTCCATTACAGTCCTAATTTGAGGATTACCTGTAGTGATATGGGGTGATGACAAAAAGAGCCACAGACTAGACAATGGTCAGATAAGAGGCAGCTGAGCCTGCAGAAGGAATTGGGGGGGGGGCCTCATAGATGTCTGAGAAGGGACCCTCCCTAGTTTCCTGGAACTGTAAAAACAGATGGGGGAGGAGTTGCAACATTCTGTTAATGCAGCCTTATAATCGAGATAAGAGCTGTTATTTATGGCTGTGCTTCCCGTCTGGACAACCTCTCAAGGTCTAACCTCAATCTTGCAAAGCCTGAAAAGTATTTCTGCCCTCCTCTCCTTTGACTGGGGGGGGGGGGGAAATTAGGGAGGGTCCCTTTTGCAACACTCCCCTTGGCCTCTTCCCTGTCCCTTTCGGTGGACTGAACTATCTTCCACACGCTGGTTGTCCAGTCTTCGGCTCCACCTTCCTGTCTGCCAAGGTCCTTCCCACCATGTTCTTGGTAGTTCATTGATTAGGCTGTAATTTACAACCAGATAGACAAACAGCAAATAACAACCTAATCGAGAAAGAAAACAACCCGTCCCACCAAAATTGATAGGACAAGCCACTAGTATGTAAAATGAAAGCAAATCCACTCCTTTCTAGCAGGGAAGATGTTACCTAGCTGGGTCATGAAATATCTGCAAGAAAATAACCAAGCCCAGAGAACTCAAGGACCCTACAGTCCTCCTCCTCCTCCTCGCACTGATGATGTTACCTAGTTTGGATAATGAAATGTCAGCAAGAGAGCAGCCAAGCTCAGAGAGCAGCAAGGACCCCTCATTTCAACCCTGAGCTGCTCTCTGTTCTTTACTCTGCAGGTAGAGTGTTTCTCTTCTAACGATGCAATTGTTCCTCGCCTTCGCTGCCCTACATCACCAACTCCTTTAAGGTTTCATCAGATTAAAAAGTGGTCCGTAAACTGCCTGAGCAACTAAGCTGCGGATCTGGAGGGGCTAGCTTGGCACAGATTGCTTTTCATTCTCTCCTGCAGGTTGTGTAAGCACAAGATGAGTTAATAGGTGTTGCCGGTTCCTCTTCTCTTCCCCCCCCCCCCAGTGATTTGCTGACCTCCTGTGTTTGTGCAAGCCCGTGTATTCTCTTTGCATGATGCTGCATCTTTTTTCAAGGCATTGTGCGGCTGAATGCAGGGAGCTTTCACTCAGAGCATTGTCCCCCCCCCAGCCCACCCCATTAGCCATGTCTGCATATTGTGATGTGTTTGGAGCAGAGCCAATGCCTCTGCTGATAGGGGTCCTGTGGGGGAAAGGGGTGTTTTCTCAGCTCTGCCTAGGACACTAAGTGGTTCTTTTCCCTCTGATCTATGCAAAAGAGAAGAAGGGGGGGAGCATTGTTGCAAAAAAAACGATGGTGTGAGAGTAGTTTTGTGAGTTGCGACATCATGCAGGATTCAACCACAGCCCTTGCTATGGACGGTTACACCAGCAATGTGCCGGCCTTCCTTACTAAGCTGTGGACTCTGGTTGAAGATCCTGAGACGAACCATCTTATCTGCTGGAATACGGTGAGTCGAACTCATATTTTGGGATTTAAAGGGGTGACCAAATGTACACCAAAGTGCTTGGAACACTGCATCCAGTTTTGGTCACCACAATGTAAAAAAGAGGTTGAGACTCTGGAAAGAGTGCAGAGAAGAGCAACAAAGATGATTGGGGGACCGGAGGCTAAAACATATGAAGAACAGCTGCTGGAATTGGCTCTGTCTAGTTTAATGAAAAGAAGGGGACATGATAGCAGTCTTCCAATATCTAAGGGGCTGCCACAAAGTAGAGGGGGTTGACCTGTTCTCCAAAGCATCTGAAGGCAGGACAAGAAGCAACGGATGGAAGCTAATGAAGGAGTGAAACAACCTAGAACTAAGGAGAAATTTCCTGACAGTTAAAACAATCAGTTGAACAACTTGCCTTCAGAAGTTGTGGGTGCTCCAACACCAGAGGTTTTAAAGAAAAGATTGGACAACTGTTTGGCTGAAATGGTATATAGGGTCTCCTGCTTGAGCAGGAGGTTGGACTAGAAGATCTCCAAGGTTCCTTCCAACTCTTGTTATTCTGAAATTGGGTAATCCATTCCAGTTAAAGCAGTTGGCAGGAATTCAGCATTAAGTTTTGTAGGACTGCCTCTGCATCTCTGTGAGTTTCTCAATTGTCTGAACGATCGTAGATATTGTGTTTGACTCAGAACAATTTCAGTCCACTGTCCTGTTGAATTCCAAGGAAGGCCTGGTCCTTAGTTTATACCAGAGATTGACAAACCTTTTGGGCTGGTGCTGATGTCTAAATTATTTTGCAGTTCCCCCCCCCCCAGAGATGTTTGATTCTAAGTGGATCATAGATGATGGTAACAGTGATGGTTATATCAGCCACGGCAATAATGACAAGGGTGATAAGCATACTAGTTTTGAAAGAAGGTCTTGAGTTCTCAAAGTAGCTGTTGTGATGGACTCACCAGATCACAAAAAGCTTCATTTACTGGAAGGCAAATAGGTGAAGTTTCTGTTCCTCTTATTCTCTCCTCCCATTGATCTCTGCCTCAGGAAATGATTGTGGTCCATGAAAGTGTTATTACAAAGGATTGTGCTTCCTTGCATGTCATGTTTGAGAGAGAGAGAAAGACAGAGAATCTAGTCTAGTGAAAAGGAGGACTACGGCTGACATGATAGCAGTGTTACACTATTTGAGGGGCTACCACAAAGATGAGGGGGACAACCTATTTTCCAATGCACTAGAAGACAAGACAACAACGGATGGAAACTAATCAAGGAGAGAAGCAACCTGGAAGTAAGGAGAAACTTCCTAACAGTGAGAAAAATTAATTAGTGGAACGGCTTGCCTCCGGAAGTTGTGGGTGCTCCATCACTGGAGGCTTTCAAAAAGTAAGAAGCATGAAGAAAATGGAATGGAAAACTGCTGGCCAGTGGGGAAAAATCTGGCACATCACATCTACGTACCTGGCCTTCTGAGTTTCAGAGACAAGGTGTCCGCTTACTCAACTGAGGAATTCCATGGACCTCATAGCTGACATTTGACCCCATCTCAAAAACGTATGGCCTTTGGGTTTGGGGGCACGATGGTTCTAGGACTATTCATCTTTGTAGCTAGATGGGATTGCGCTGTCCCAAAGAAACCCCATTCAACTCCCAGAATTCCCAGAATTAGCTGGCTGGGGAATTCTGGGAGTTGAAGTCCACGCAAAACGTTCTAGCTGGGGAATCTGGGAGTTACAGTCCACCTATCTTAAAGTTACCACGGTTGAGAAGCCCTGCCTTTGTTGTTATTGTTGTTAGTTGCGAAGTCATGTCCGACCCATCGTGATCCCTTGGACCACGTTCCTCCAGGCCTTCCTGTCCTCTACCATCTTCTGGAGTCCATTGAAGCTCACGCCTCCTGCTTCAGTGACTCCCTCCAGCCACCTCCTTCTCTGTCGCCCCCTTCTTCTCTTGCCCTCAACCTTTCCCAGCATTAGGCTCTTCTCCAGTGAGTCCTTCCTTCTCGTTAGGTGGCCAAAGGACTTGAGTTTCAACTTCAGGATCTGGTCTTCTAAAGAGAAGTCAGGGTTGATCTCCTCTAGGACTGGCCAGTTTGTCCTTATTAGCAAGGCTAGCATCTGACCAACGTTGGTTCACTGCTGTAAAAGTTAAGCAGGGTTAAAGTTGTTATTTTTTCTCCCAAGATTGTAGGGTAGCCTGGGAAGTAAAATCGGTGCCCCGAAGAAATCAACCGTTAATCATTTCCATATTATTTCCAGAAAATGACATTTGCCCATCAAGGGAGACAGAGGGCTTTGAAGGAGGGTCTAATTCTGTCCTGCTTTATTTTTATTTTTATTTCAGAATGGCACCAGCTTCCATGTTTTCGATCAGAGTCAGTTTGCAAAAGAAGTCCTGCCCAAATATTTCAAGCACAACAACATGGCCAGTTTTGTCCGCCAGCTGAATATGTGTAAGTAACACTGGAAACTTGGGGAGATTGGGGTCCTCTGAATGCTACTCTACTACACCCCCCCCCCCAATCCCTAACCACTAAACGAAAGCTTGTAAGTCAAGGACTGTCTGTATACAGGACAGCTGCTGGCCTGCTGGTATTCTGACTCTGTCCTGAGCAGAAGCCTCTAGTTTGCTGAGGCAAGAAAGAAGACTAAAGTAGATGCAGACATGCCCAATGTTATGACATTTCCCCCCAATATTTTACCTGGTATTTTGGTTAACTTGAAAGAATAAACTGTCGCTCAAAGCCACCCAGAGTCACTCAATAGCGAAATGGATGGCATTCAAATTTAATAAGTAAATCAGAATAAAACAAACTATACTGAATAGAAAATGCTATTATTATTGTCACAATATTTATATCATGGTACTTTATATTAGAAACGTATCTAAAATTATGCATAACATTATGTAAAAACTTTATAAAATTATAAAGTGCATATAATTGCAAGTGTTGAGTCACACACTTGCAGTTTGTTTCTCAATACAGATAGTCCTCGACTTATAACCACAATCGAAGCCAAAATTTCCATTGCTAAGCAAGATGGTTGTTAAGTGAAACACCACAGTTACTAAGTTAGGCACACAGCTGTTAAGTCAGTGGTTCTCAACCTTTTTAATGCCGTGACCCCCCCAACCGGTCGTAAGTCGAGGACTACTCAACTGGTGCAGCACCGTTTCCAGAATGGGACTTTTGGCGGGCTCAGCAGGGCAGAGACAGCCTGGACAATTCCTGTTGGCTTTTGAAAGCCAATAGAATTAGACTCTATTCAAGAGAGTCTATTCTATTGGCTTTCAAAAGCCAATAGAATAAAAGGGAGTAGCACAGCTAAGGAAAAGGGGGAACAAAATGGCGGACCGCGTTGTTTGGCGACCCCCGTGAAATGGTCGTTCGACCCCAAATGGGGTCCCGACCCACAGGTTGAGAACCACTGTGTTAAGTGAACCTGGATTCCCCCCGCCCTTGACTTTGCTTGTCAGAAGATTGCAAAAAGGGGATCACATGACCCTGGGACACTGCGGCCGTCATAAGTACGAGTCAGTTGCCAAGCATACAAATTTTTACTATGACTGCGAGGAATAGAAACCCTTCCATTCTCCACTGTTGAGTCGGAACTGAAGAAGCTTCTTGGATGATAAGTGAAAGGTCTTTAAGAGAAAAAACCAACTCCAGTTGCCTTTAGAACAGCGGTTCTCAACGTTTGTGTGACGGCAACCCCCGTCACACAAACGTTATGCGCATGCGCGGCGCGGCGCACCCCCATGCATGGCGCGCATGCGCGGTGCCGCCCCCGGGGGTGCGGCGCCACCCCCATGCACGGTGCGCATGCGCGGCGCCGCCCACAGAGGGGAGAAAATGGCAGATCGCCGCCTTTGGCGACCCCCGAAAAATGGTCGATCGACCCCAAATGGGGTCGCGACCCATAGGTTGAGAACCGCTGCTTTAGAAGAAGCACCTTTGGGACAACCATGACCTGGATGACTGAAAATCTCCACAGACATCCCAGACCGATGGACGTCCAATCTTGCTCTCCTGTTATTGTACTCCACAACAGGAAAATAAATAATTTCCTTAACACATGTGGCAACGGGAAAGTAGCTTAGCTCTCGCACAAATAATCCTAAACTTCAGCACCACAAGCTGAACCAGGAAATTGGCCACGATAAGCTGCGTTGCTGTTAAATATTGTGTGACCTCCAGCCCTTTCACAGATTTCTACTGTCTGTTGCATGCAGATGGGTTTAGGAAAGTGGTAAATATCGAACAGGGAGGACTCGTGAAACCCGAACGGGACGATACGGAATTCCAGCATCTTTATTTCCTGCAAGGCCACGAGCATCTTTTGGAGCTGATCAAAAGGAAGGTAGGAGATGCCTTGTTAACATTCGGCAAGGTTCGTCCAGGAATGCGTTCTGAAATTCCATTTTTCCGATTGCAACCTGGGTGCTTTGCCAGAATCTCCGCTTCCCTGAGCTGGGAATTGCGCTACGTTGTTTGGAATTTGGGGGGGGGTATATTGTGTTTGGACAAAACAGTGGGTGTGAGAGCGATTTTCATTTTCACACACATACACAAAAACCCTGCTGTTGGCTGGGGTGGCCAGCCCCCCCCCACTTCCTTTTATTGCGGGGAAGTAAAATTGCATTGGCAGCACACCAGCAAACCCCTTTGTATGCCCAGAGTGGGCAGGGCCAAACTTTTCATTTCATTTATTGGAGGGCTGGAAGCATTTTAAAGTAGCTTCCTTAACATTTATGTATTCTACATCAGGGGTCCCCAACCCTGGTCCATGGACTGGCACTGGGCTGCGCAAACAAGCAAAGCCCCATCCAGGGGATGCAGGCAGCACACGAAACCACACACACACAATCTCTCTCCACGGAACCGGTCCCTGGTGCCCAAAAGGTTGGGGACCTCTGTTCTACATCCTACAAAGAGATCAAACCCGTTTAGGTCCTTAACTCTTAAGCTGAAGGAAGTCATTCGTAAGGGGAGATGCTACTCGCCTCTCCCACTCTGCAGTCCAGCAGCCGTGGCGGACTCTGCTCTATCGGACGTGAAAGTGGGGCATATTCCAGCAAAACAGTGTTGTAACTGTGAGTTGGCACCTTTCAGGGGTATTGGGCAGCATCCTTCTATCATCTAAACCGGGGGGGGGGGCGGCAAACCTGGCTACTTTAAGACTTGTGGACTTCAACTCCCAAAATTCCCCATGGTTGGCTAGGGAATTCTGAAAGTTGAAGTCCACAATCTTAAAGTTGCCAAGTTTGGAGAGGCCAGATCTAGAGTTTGGAAGACACCAAGCTGAGCTGTAGATATGATCCATTCCTTTTTTAAAAAAACTGTGTCTGATGCTCTCCTCTTCCTCCTCTTTGTTCCTTCAGGTGTCTGTGGTGAAAAGTGAAGAAACCAAGATGCGCCAAGAAGATCTCAGCAGACTTTTGTATGAGATTCAAGTCCTCCGGAACCAGCAGGAGATGATGGAGTGCCAAGTTCAGGATGTGAAACAGTAAGTCGACCTCCCGGCCTTCAAACATGCCGCTTGGCATGCAAACATCAGCTTGGGGACGGCACCCAGCCTCCCCCATGGACAGTATCTCCAAAGGCCATCAGAAGTGACCTAAATAAAAGCTCATTCCTGGGCTGAGAATGGAGACTGTGACTTTTGGCCCTTGGTTTCAGGGAGAGGTACTGTCTAAGCCAGGGGCCGTCAAACTTGGCAACTTTAAGACTTGTGGACTTCAACTCCCAGCACTGAGAATTTGTAGCTGAGGAGTTCTGGAAGAGACTCCTGCAGTAGACCACAAGCTGTCCAAATGGGCTGTACAGGTAGTCCTCCACTTACAACCACAATTGAGCCCAATATTTCTGGGAAACATTTCTTAAGTGGGGTTTGCCCCATTTTTACAACTTTTCTTGCCACAGTTGTTAAGACAGTGATGTTTCTCTGTGTCGTGTGTGTGTGTGTGTGTGTGTGTGTGTGTGTGCACACAATGGTATCTTTTTTGAGAGCTGAATGCAGCAACATTTCATTTTAATGTAAGCTGATTAGTGTACATTGAAAGTGACAAACTATTATTCTATTCTATTCTATTCTATTCTATTCTATTCTATTCTATTCTATTCTATTCTATTCTATTCTATTCTATTCTATCCTCATTCTGATTCCCATTCTTGGAAGTAGATGGTCTTGAGGAGCCCACAGTCAGCTGTGTGTTAGTACGATAACTCTTCTCTCTTCAGGCAGAACGAGGTTTTATGGAAGGAAGTTCTGTGTCTCCGGCAAAACCATTTGCAGCACCAGAAGGTGATCAATAAGGTAATGAGGGGATTGAGACTCACGGAGCACCAGTGAGATATATTCTCAACCCGTGGTGGGCTTACACTTGGGTTTTCTTAACTATGCTTTCTTTGAGTAGATGTAGGAGAGGAGCAGGCTGAGCTGGTGGGGTGGAGTTAAGCGCATCATTATCTTAGAATCATTACATTCCCACAAGTGGTTCAGGTCCAGCCCCTCTTCAATTCCATTACTTACCTGGTGCCAATTCAGAACTGACTGGATTAGAAGACCTCCAAGGTCCCTTCCAGTCTATGAAATAACTGGGAAATACAGTTTGGGCAAAGCAGGTGCAGGCGTAGGTGCCTGGTTCAGAAGGCTGTCTCTGCAAGCAGAACGGGAACCCCAGGTATTCAGAGAGAGGCTGTCTTATTGGGTGCTGACTGATGTTTTCCCCAACAGCTGATTCAATTTCTGTTTGGCCAGCTCCAGCCCAGTCCCAGCAGTCCTGGGATAAAGAGAAAACGGTAAGTAGCCTCATGTGACACCTACATGGCCAAGGAACTCTTGTTGGGGGGTGGGGGGGAGCACTCTGCTCTTGCAAAGTGTGGAGCTGTTTCAAAGGGCAGAGCTAGTCATGGGACTTGGGCACTCTGGTGACCAGGATCTGAACAGGGGTGGAATTGATGAGTCAGAGCTGCTGACCTGGCTGATTCAGGGCCCTTGGACAGCCACCCAGTCAGATGCTGAAGCCTTTGTTTGGTAGCTTGCTGGGCTGAGGCAGAGGAGACCAATGGCCGGAGGGTTGGGGTGGAGGCGAGCTGCTTCATGAACCCTACCCCACGGGATCAGCTACTCCTAGCTCGGAAGGGGTAAGGGAAAGATACCTGGATTGGATTGAAACGATGTCATCTTGAAGTGGCTTTTTGGTCCATCTCATTCATGGGGTGCTGTGGGAGCAGCCAAAGGGGACTTGAGAATATTATGGGATCAGTGGGCTTGGTTTATTCATCCTTGAGCACTCAGTCTTGTTATAAGTGGAAGCAGTGTTTTTACACACTTGACAACTTTAAGATGGGTTGCCTTCCACCCTCGGAATTCCCCAGCCACCATGCTTTAAGGTGAGGACCTCAGCTCCCAGAATTCTCCTGTGGTCATGAAAATTCTGGTTCCAATTGTGCTCGTGAGCTGAAGTCTACCTGCATTCAAATAGAATAAAGCGGGCGGGGGGGGGGAACCTGCAAAAACAATAGGAAAATTATAGTGAACTATTAACGTTATCTATGAAAGGGCTTCTTATACCAGTTTAATAAAACAGGTTCAGTAAAAATTGACAGTATTTCATTGTATAATTTTCTGTACCTAGTGTATGTCCGTACACAGTCTGTAACCTCACTCGTAAGTTACAAGTAGGATTAAGTTTTCCATTTACTGAGTAAGCAAAATAACAAGTACATACATTCATGGTGTTACAAACGTAGCTAGAAAGCCAGTTTGGTGTTTAGGTTAAGGCACCGGGCTAAAAGCCAGGTGACCGTGAGTTCTAGTCCCAGCTTATGCACAAAGCCAGATGGCAAGGGCAAATCTGCTAAATCCAGACGATCACCAGGAGTCAAGACTAACTTGAAGGCGCAATAAATAAATGAAATAATCCATGATAAGGCTGTGGGGGCCACAGATCAGGACGTGGGGGTTAAACTGCTTTGCTTCCTCTCTGCCCATAGGCCTCTCATGTTGGATGACGGGAACTCTGCCCCACAGGTGACCAAATTCCGAAGATCTCTGCCTCTGGATCCCTTTCATGAGCCTTGCTACATTCAGCCTGTAAGTTTGGGATTGCGGTCCCTCCAGTCTTTTGCTTCTCACCTGCTCTTGCTTTGGCTGACAACTGGTTTGGGATGACCTTCAGCTCTCTGTTGGCCAAGCAGCTCAGCAGCTGGTGATTTGAGGAGCTGCTTCTTGGTCTGAAGCAAAAAAATTTATGGGATTGTAAGGGTCTACGTGAGTGACCTTGGGAGATGGAGAGAGAGCCACAAACAGGATATCTATTCCGACAGTCGGGCCCACCCTGTGGTTATGTGACAGAAATTCAGACGCTCAACCACACGGCTTCATTTACAGCCATTTGCAGTATGCTGCGGCCAAATGACCCTGTTTCACAACAGTTTTGCTGAAAACTGGAACTTCTGGTTTTTGGCCAAACTGCCCAAAGCAAACCATTAACTCACTTAATGACTGTGGATTTGCTCAATGGCCATGGCAAACGAGGTTGTAAGATCAAGTCAGTCACGTGAATGACCCGTTTTGTCAGAGCTTCATCAGAATAACAATATATATATATATATATATATATATATATATATATATATATATATATATCTATATATATATATATATATATATATATATATCTTCTCTTCCCTGTTTCTAGCCATCTGCAGATCATGCCTCATGTTTAAACGGCCCTGTTCTGAAAGGGGCCATCATTTCTGATGTTTCCGAAGCCACCCAGCCCAGTCCGGTGGCTTTGCAGCTGCCTCCAGACAGCGAGAGGTAAATAATTACATGAAAATAGTAGGAAAATGGGGGAAAGTTACAGCAGAGGCCTCTAAACTTGGCAACTTTAAGACTTGTGGACTTCAACTCCTAACTCTGTTGGCTGAGGCATTCTAAGCGTTGATGTCCACAACTCTTACAGTTGCCAAGTTTGCAGACCCCTGCTCTACAGGTTGGAAGCCATCAATGAGAAGTTCTTCTGTGGGATCCTTGCAGATGTTTTCATATGGAAACTGTTATTGGGACATGTTTGGGCTGTGCTTGGGAAGAGGAAAAGTCTGGAGCCAGTTGAGCAAAGAAAGGCAGAACATGGAGAGGACCTATTTCTCTTTCCAGGGAAACGAGTCTTTTGCTAATTAAGGAAGAAGCCTCTGGTCCGGACAGGAAAGCTGCTTTCACAAGTCCTGCTGTTCCTTTGGTTGGCTACAACCCCTGTCCTGAGCCCCCTGTGCTGCCCATTACTGTGGTCCAGTCAGTCTTAGATGGGAGGACAAGGTGTGATGATCTGCAGCCAATGTGTTTGCAGCCCCAGGAAAGACGGTCATTTTTGGACAGGTAAGGCCCAGGTGTGCACCCAGCATCGCTGAAGTGCCAGCTTGAAGATTGCTCGAATTTAAAGTTTACTCCTGCTTTCTTTGCTCTCCTGACTGGCTGGAGATCATCCTATTTACATGTTTGAAATGTTGTAAATATTTGGTAAGCTCTGACCCAAGAATGCTCCTATTTCATACTAGAATACCGAATGCTTGCGAGTTCTAGCTTTCACATCTGAGAACTGGCGAAATTTCAGGAGAGAATACTGAAATACGCGGCGATTTGGTGGGAAGTTAGCTTTAACGTCCCCTGAAATTTATCTGGACAACTGTCTCTTTTTGTGTGTGTGTTTCTCCAGAACAGTCATTCCTGATCTCTGGGACGGGGCTGATCTGAATTTGGAAGGATTCCAGATCTTTCTAAGAAACCAACAGTACAATGTGGAAACCACCAGATCTTTGGAGGTGAATCCCCTAAGCTGGCTGGAGGAATTCTGGGGGTTGAAGTCCCGCTCGTCTTAAAGTTGCCAAGCTTGAAAAATCTTGGGTTAGAGACATCCACAAGAGGGGCTAAAAATAAAATATGGAGGTTCTACCTGTATGGTTATAGGTAGTCTTTGATTTATGACCACAATTCAGCCCAAAAATTTCTGTTGTTTCAATTAAGAACAGAAATGTTGGGCTCAACTGTGGCCATGCGAAGTGAGTTTTGCCCTATTTTATGATCTTTCTTGCCGCAGTTGTTAAGTGAATCACTGCAGTTCTTAAGTTAGTAACATTGTTACTTTGCTTGTCAGAAGCAAAGGGAGATCACGTGACCCCAGGACACTGCGACCATCATAAATATGATCCAATTGACAAGCGTCTGAATTTTGATCACATGATCATGGGGATGCTACAAAGGTCATAACTGAAAAACAGTCATAAGTTACTTTTTTTCAGTGCTGTTGTACCTACGAGTGGTCGCTAAATGAACTGTTGTAAGTTGGGGACCACCTGCATTTAAGGGAGTGGAATTCCTCCCTTCTGATGTGTTTGTGGATGGCAAACTTGCAAGAGCTGCTTCGAACTCGGAACAGGCCTATTTAGTCCAGAGGCATCCTGAAACATCCTGCCTTTGTGCTTGCAAGCGATTTGCTGTGTCCCTTTTGGAGTGGAGAGAGGGTCAAAATTGAAGCGTTGGTGAAGGTTCATCGCTGTGCATTTTACCCCAAAGCGAGCTGAGTATCTCTTTTCTTTCTTTATGTTAGGCCTTCAACCCCGTGATCCCGTCGAGTGAGTGGACTTTAAATGACGTGGAGGCTGATTTGCCTGGGGTAAGAGACGGACCTGCAGGAGACCCAGGGAGGTGGTATTGCCTCAACCGAGGGTTAGCCTCAAGATCACATGAAGTGGAAGTACCACTTTATACTGCACTGGTGAGGCCATATTTGCAATACTGCATCCGGTTCTGGTCACCACGATGTAAAAAGAAAGAGTGCAGAGAAGAGCAAAAAAGCTGATCAGGAGACTATAAAGAATGGATGCTGGAATTGGGTATGTCTAGTTAGGGGTCAGGAGACTAAATTGCCTGATGAACAACTGAGGGAATTAGGTATGTCTAGACCAGGGTTAGGCAACCTTGGCTCTTTTATGACGGGTGGACTTCAACTCCCAGAATTCCTCAGCCAGCCACCTGTAACCACTTTCCCCTTGGCCTGCATTTCCATTTATGTTCACCTGGTCCACTTTGCAGGTGGGCCACTGGGGGACCAAGGGGGCAGGACAGGCAGGAAGGCAGGAAGGAGCAGCAATGGAGGGAAAGTTATCAAAGAGACCCAACCTGGAACTAAGTCAACTTTCCTGACTGAGAACAATTAACCAGTGGAACTGCTTGCCTCCAGAAGTTGTGGGTGCTCCATCACTGGAGGTCTTTAAGAAGAGATTGGGCAGTCATTTGTCTGGAATATGGTATAGGGTCTCCTTTTGAGTGGGGGGGGGTTTGAACTAAAAGACCTCCAAGGTCCCTTCCAATTCTGTTATTCTTATTATGTCCTGTTCTAGATCAGCCAGATTTTTAAAAAACATCTCTATCCCTCTCCCCTTCCTTGGGCAATAACTCTGCATTGTTCTACTGTAGTTTGTGGTTTTTTTGCACCAGGCTGCAGATGCTCACTGTGGAACAACTGGAGAAGAGCACAAATAAGAAGCCCTCCTGAGGACTAGAACCTCAGCTTCAGTATCTCTTGCCCAGGAGCTGAATGTTTACATCTGGAAAACACGGCTTTGTCCGCTGGCTTTGTCCGGGATTCCAGTGACCGACCCACACCCATTTCCCAAGGAGAGACTATTTTTCTGACATATTCTTGTGCTGCTATTTTTTACCAGTTCAGAACACTCTTTTTGAACGGAGAGCGCCATGCGTTCAACTGGGGTTTTTTGGGGAGGCCATATGCATTCAGCTGGTTTGTTCTGCATACAGTCTAGTATTCTCCCCCATCTTGGTGCCCTCCAGACATTTTTGGACTACAACTTCCTTCACCCACAGACAGCTCAGTTATTATTGGCAACCATATATTGTGTGTTAGCATATCTGTTTATCTAGGCCAGGAGTAGGCCACCTTGGCTCTTTTATGACTCGTGGACGTCAACTCCCAGAATTCCTGAGCCAGCTATGCTGAGGGGAAAGGAAGAGGTTTCCAAGCTGAGCCAGGCTGGCTGAGGAATTCTGGGAGTTGAAGTCCACCAGTCTTAAAAGAGCCAAGGTGGCCTACCCCTGGTATAGGGTCTCCTGCCCATGCAGGGAATTGGACTGGTATGCTGCAACTGTCATAAAGACATGCTGATTGCCATGATTGTGTAACTGTGGGGATGCTATGATAGTCATAAGCTCGAGGACCGGGGATAAGTCACCTTTTTCAGTGCCATTGTAACTTCAAAAGGTCATTAAATGGATGGCTGTAAGTTCAAGACTACCTGTACAGTAAGTAGGCAATTACCCAATGCATTTAAGACATAGCATATACTGCCCCCCAGTGGCCCATATAGGTATACATCGCTCTGTAGGGAAAATACGGCTATGCTTTTAAGCCATAGGATTTAATGCTCCCGGAAAGTTACTTTTAATTTATTGAGAGTTGGCCAATGTCCTTTTTCTTTTACCTTTTTCTCTTACATGGGAAAAAAAAAAGCTTTAAAGAATCCAGTGTTTGCTTCCTTCCTGTTTTCTTCTATACGTTGACAATGATCCCCTGTCCACCCAATGCTGCGTGGTTTTATTAATTCGTCTATTTGTACCACTCCTTTAGTATTATTATAAATAACTCAGCAGCAGACATACCCAATATGCCTTCCTCCTCCTATTTTGCCCACAAGAACAGTCCTGTGAGGTGGGTTGGGGCTGAGAGAGAGAGAAGGACTGGCCCAAATTCACCCAGCCAGTTTTTCATGCTTATAGTTGACCTAGAACTCAAGGTCTCTTGGTTTCTAGACCACACTGACTCTTATAGGTCAGGTTGCTGAAGGCTTAGCTGATCATTTGAAAAATATGGAAGGGGAACACTTTATAGCTTAATAAATAATGAAATAGCTAGCCACTGGCAAGTTCAAGATGACGTTGGCCTCTAAAATTCCAGGTGAATTTTGCTCAGCCGTGTTAGGCCTGCTGTGCTTTCGTTTCTCAACAGCCTCTTTGTGAGTGACGTCAAAGAAGAATACATATTTGACTCAATATTATTAAGAACCCAGCGTCCTAGAAAACAGATACCTATATTAAAAATGAACCGTTTTAAGAATTTCCTTCGAATTTACTGTGTCGGCTTTTTCTGGATTTAAAGACACTGAGCGTCTGCTGAGCCCTGTTTCCATGTAGGTTGGTCAGCACAAGCCTCAACAGAGCCTGAACCGCTTCCCATCCCATAGGAGATAACACTAGAGCAGAGGTCTTCAAACGTGGCCCTTTTATGAAGTCCACAACTCATAAAAGGGCCAAGTTTGAAGACCCCTGCACTATAGAGAATGAATGACTTGCTACTAGGCAATCAGGAAGCTCCAACCTTAAGTTGGCCTACAGGTGAGTGTCTTCTGACAAGCATCCCAATAGCTGGGGGTTGTTACTCTGCTTCCCAAGACAGATTGGAAAACTACAGAGTGCAGATTTCAGACAGGGAGGAAAACGCTCGGTTTACAGGGCTGTGCCTCCTAGTTCTTAGCAAGTCTTTTCTTCCTTGTTTGTGAACGTCATCCGTCTGGGACTTAATGGGGAATCTACAACCGAAGGGCTTCTCCTACTAGCCCTGAAAAATACAAAGCAGGAGGAGATTCTGATCTTTGCGTTGAACTTGCCAACCAATAAGCAAGATAAGGAATGAGGTACGCACGGCTGAAAACAGAAACCTTTATTGAAGCTGAATTACAACTAGAAATAAATCCAAAGAGAAATATACAATGGCAACTTAATAACTTGCCGTCCCAGAAGGCACAGAACAACAAAACTGAAAAACATTGGATTTTAGCAGGACAAAACAGCAGACGAGACTTAAAATGGCCGCTCTTTCAATTTAGCTGTATTGTGCTAACAGAACTACAAAAAATAAACCTGGATTCTAAGTTTAAATGTTGATGACCTGCCACAGAGGCTTCCTAGCTTCATACCACATGGTAGCTCTGGATGCCCTCAGGTCCCTGTCCAGACCATCACACAAGTTTGCAGTCAGTCAAGAGAACCTCAGGGAGACGGATCAGGCAGGCGAAACCATCAGGGTGCATTCTGCTCTAGATCTCACTCCTCAGTCCAACACGTGTTCAGCATCTTCACTTGCTTCTAATCCTGGTTGCTCTGCATCTGTTAGGAGGATAAAACACAGCTAGTTTTCTTAGCATAAGCAGGCAAAGCCACGGCCTTCCAAAGGCTTCTCAAAGGAGGGAGCCTGTTCAGGGGCCGCCGAGATGATTCAGAACTTAATTAAACAAGCAAGCTCCTTTCCTGAGTGATTCCCCCAGCAGAAAAGACAAAAATGCACATAGATTAGCAGGCAAGGCAGAGTGTATGCCTTCCCCTCCATCTTGGTTCTTGGCTCAGCTTCAGAATCTCATAACTCCTAATCAAGGTGGAGTTTCGGCATTGCTTTAAACCTAATCTGATTTGACTTGGCCTTAAGGTGCATGTGTGAACCTAGCCCAGGGGTAGGTAACCTTGGCTCTTTTATGAGCTGGCTCAAGAATTCTGGGAGTTGAAGTCCATGAGTCATAAAAGAGCCAAGGTTGCCTACCCCTGACCTAGCCACTGGTTTGCAAGCATTTGATATGGCTTAGTCTTGATTTACATCTTCACTTTGTCAAAGTGGGCTATAGCACAATGTGTGAGTCAGTAATGCAGAGATTCGGGGGTTCGGTGCCGATTCTGAAATAATTCTTTCATAAAACCTATCTATTATCTCATCCTGATATGGAATAAGGCTGGCCACCTTCATTCCCTTGTTCCCTTTGCAGCTAAACTTCTGCAACTCGCCCTACGTGAGGCTGTCTTTGAAGATTTGGAACTGCAGCTGGTGTAAAATGATACAGCTGTATTTATATATTGTTTTATACTGTACTTTATTTATACAAGTAGTCCTTGACTTACAGCAGTTCATTTAGTGACTGTCTGAAGTTACAACGGCACTGAAAAAAGTGACCTATGACCATTTTTCACTCTTGCAACCGTGGCAGCACTTCCGGGCATCCCCACGTGCGCGAGCAGCAGGCAAGCATGCACACATGCTCCATTTGCATGAGCAGCGGGCACACATGCATGCCGCTCGTGCAAATGGAGCTGCGCACACGCACTTGCCAGCTGCTCTCACAGAATCATCCCTCTTTCCCCCCCCCCCGGATCTATTTCAATGAGCAGTTCTCAGAGGAACTACAGTTACTAAATGGATTTGTTCCAACATTATTGAGAGCTGCAAACAGATGATTATGGACTCGGGTCACGGTTTTGTATGTGTAAATTTACCTAGGCAAGTTGATCCAGACTGAATCTCTACGTTTTTGGTACCGTCTGGAATTTGTCCATCTTGATCACATTGTGAAGGCTCCGAAGATTCAGGAGTGACGTCTTCAATTAAAGGTCCCAGAGGTTTTGCTTGATGTTCCTTGGTCTTTTCTTGTGGTGCCAGAAGATCTTGGACAATTGGCCCAATGGTTTCTTTGGCACCAGCTTCAGACACCGTGGGATCTTTTGAAAAAATGGCGTTTAAGACTTCCGAGGTTAGTGAGTTGTCAGAAGCGGTGACGGTTCCTTCGGTGTAGCCTCTCTCGTGGCTGGTTTCAGAAATCACTTCAATTTTGGGAGGGGATATTCGCTGAAGAGATAAAACAAACAGCATACAATGGATTTCTTTCTACAAACATATAGTCCTTGACTTACGACCACAGCTGAGCCCAAAATTTCTGTTGGTTAAAGTTGTGATGGCCGTAAACACAACAAACCCAATTTTCCAAATATTTTTTGTGACAGTTGTTAACCTTAGAAGAAGAAGAAAAATGACCTTTTTGATGAAGAGGTCTTCCTTCGCTGAATCTTCACCGGGGGTATCTATGTCTTCTAAATCAGGAAGTTCCTGAAAAATATCCAAATGTTTCTTGAAAAAAAAATAGCTTTTCAAGAGAACGCGGTGGGTAGGGAAGGGAAATGTCACGGAACGCATGTTTTCATCCTGGCCCTCCACTTCGTCCCATCTTTCCTCTCCTGCAGTTAAAACTTACGTCAAGGTAAAGTTTTTCTGGCCCGTCCAATGTAATGTGTTCAATATCTGCCAAGTCAACGCATTCAGTTCGCAGTGGCCCTTCGGTAGCGAACCTATAAACTGATTTTAGACAAAAACCTTCAGCATATCTGGGCCAGGAACCCATTAGCCTCACGCCTTTAACCTGGCTGGCTGAGGAATTCTGGGAGTTGAAGTCTACAAGACTTAAAGCTGCAAGTTTGAAGATCCCTACCTTACCTTTTTCAACAGGAGCTGCGTTCAATTCCGGTTCCTGTGCTTCCTGCTGATGTGGATCTTTCTCTGATCTCCTCAACTGGTCACCCAAGATTTCCTTGGCAGCTATCGCGTCTTTGTGGGCGCCCAGAGTTTCTTTCACAAATTTCTCAATCTTCTGCATCGTCTCCAGGGGTTCCGAAACCTCTGATGTCTCCACTCCATTTTCTGCCACGGCACCATTGCTGGAAGATGGTAGGGCCTCTAGAACGATCCAGTAACAGATTTAAAAACAAACCCTGGCCGGCCAGCAGGCTTCATTCTGGCATTTGTTGGGAAAAATCAATAATAAACAGAAGGATGATTTGTCCCGGCTTCTTTAAAGTAAGCCAAGCTGTATATTAAATAGGAACTAAAGACGCAAACCCGGCTGAATTAAAACTAGCAACAAATATATTTAAGCAAGGATATTGCAATGTCTCGTGAGCTTGAGCGATACCGTCTGGGGATAATTTGTCAAGGAGAAAACGAGGGTGGCAACATGAATTTATTGGTGCTACCCAGAGTTACTTTACAAGGGAGATAATTTTTTTAAAAATAAATTAAATTTAAATAAATGACAACCGGAAGGTGTGGCCTAGGATGCCCCTGCTTAGAAAAGTCACAAACCTCCTTCATCAA